TCCCACAGGACATCAACACAGGTTATTAGCATCATCCTAGTGCCAGTTCATGGATGACACCCTTGGCCGGGATGAGAACACCATCCTTCCAAACCAGGGTTTGGCAAACTATGGCCTGCAGGCCAAATCCGGCCCACTGCCTGGTTTTGTAAATAAAACTTTATTGGAACATAGTCACACGCGTTTGTATTTGTATTGTCTATGGCTGCTTTTGTATTATGATGGCCAAGGAGTTGTGACAGAGACCATTATGGCCCATAAAGCCTAAAATATTTACTATCTGGCCCTTTATGGAAAGTTTGCAAGCCCCTGTAGTAAACCAAGAGTTCTTGTTCCCAGCAGTGACGGTATACAGTTATAGTATACAGGTCTACACGCCAGTGATCTTGGCCTCTCTCAGTATTATTCCCTTTAACCCAGTTGCAGAATCGATGTGTCCTGTCCGCAGCTGTTGGCTCTACTGCAGTGGGGCTCCCAGATCCTCAAGAGTTGGGGGGTGCGCGCGCGCGCGCGCGCGCACACACACACACACACACACACCTGATAATACAGTGAGGGTTCCACTGAGCCTGAAACTGTCTGCCACATACACACTTTGAGATTTGCACACCGGGGAAAGAAAGGGATCACACTGGTTATCTGTGTTAGGAGAGGCTAGACTTTACTGCTGCCTAATGGGGCAGAGAATTCACAGAGGTAGTAACCTGGTGTCTCCATGCTCAGTGGTTACCCTCAGCAGGCGGGCAGAACCACCACAGCCTGATAATGGACGAGGGCTTTGAGCCCTCAGCAATGAGGGTGTGAGCACTGTACCAAACCGGCAACGCAGCACAGCTGAAGTATTGGCCAAGACTGAGGAAACTCTAGAAAGGATGGGAGCGGAGATAAGAAATCGTTATGGCTTTGTGAGCAGCCCCAGCAATGGGGACTAGCAAGTTCCACTAACCCTCCTGAATTATACTCTCTAGAGATGCTAGCTGGCCTCCCTCAAAAAGTCCAGAGTGGACTTAATGTGGGCATGAGTGGATCTGAGTGGTACCAAGGGTGGATGAAGGAGGTGCGTTTGGTGCTCTGTGGCCCATCTCCTCTGCACCTCTGATTTTGGCGGCAGCTGTGGTGGCCAGTTCCACGTGAGCTTGGATCATGATGACAGCATCCCACCTCAAGCCTGCACCACAGATCTCTTCGCTTTGCTGCTGTGAGGTCCTCCAAAGCTGAAAGAACCTGCTTGGCCCAAGTGCAAGCATAGCCTGAAAGTGTGGGGGTGTCTAGCCCTCCAACAGGGACCAGGGCCGATGGATGAAACTGTGGCCTTACGTTATTCAGATGGAATTATGGGAGGCATTCTGTACTGTCCTCAGAGGTGGAACTGAGCTCCCGTTGCCTCCAGAGGCATCTTCCATAACACACCTGTGTACTGGCATTTCCTCCTCTCCTGGCTCACTCTCCATCTCCGGCTCCAGTTGCCTAATATCACCTCCCAAATAAACTATCTGGATTCAAGTCCTTGTTTTGGCTTTTCTTTCAGGACACTGAAACACATTCCCATTAATACCAGAAACAAAATAAGCATGTCTACTCTCACTGCTACTCCCCAACACAGTACTGTCCTTACTTACAAATGAGCTCCTCCTCTTCCCAGAAAACGCAAAGAACCAATACAGAATCTATTAGAGTTAGTAAAGGAGTTCAACATGTGTGATATATGTAAGATTAATTTATAGAACATTTGTAATTTCCCTTTATTTCAGCAATAACCAACTAGAAAATAGATTCTGTTCACAGTACCAATAAAACTATATTAAAAATGCATAAGAGGGAGGTGGGGGGATGGGTTAGCCTGGTGATGGGTATTAAAGAGGGCACGTTCTGCACGGAGCACTGGGTGTTATAACAATGAATCATGGAACACTACATCAAAAACTAATGATGTAATGTATGGTGATTAACATAACATAATAAAATAAAAAATAAAAATAAAATCTAAAAAAAAAGATAGCAGGAAGGGTAAAATGAAGGGGGTGGGAATCAAGAGGGGGAGACGAACCATGAGAGACTATGGACTCTGAGAAACAAACTGAGGGTTCTGGCGGGGGAGGGGTGGGGGGATGGTTAGCCTGGTGATGGGTATTAAAGAGGGCATGTATTGAATGGAACACTGGGTGTTATGCACAAACAATGAATCATGGAACACTACATCAAAAACTAATGATGTACTGTATGGTGATTAACATAACATTAAAAAAATAATAAAAAAATGCATGTCTTTAAGAAATTTTAAGAAACACTTAAAGGACATTAAGGAAGTTCTGAATAAAGGAAGAATTGTTTCTGATAGTGTTAAGATGTCAGTTCTCCCTAAACTTACCAGTAAATTCAATGCAATTCCAATAAAATTCCAGTGGGACCTTTTTCTCTCTGTCCACTCCTGCCCCTATAGGAACCCACTAAATTTGTTTGGACACTTGCATGGAAAAATAAAGTTTCACAAAAATAGCATAGTCAATTTAGGGGGAAAAAAAAAGACCTTACCACATACTGAACACGTACTATAAAGTCATAATAATAGAAGTTGTGCAAGAACATTCATAGATTAGTATGTAAAAGGCTAAAGAGTTAAAAAAAACACATTTATACATGAAACGGAAATGACATCATAAACTAATAAGGTAAAGTAACTTATTTAATAGAGAATATTGGCAAAACTGGCTGACTGTGTGGAGAAAATACCTGTGGGCCTTACACAAGGTTACTCTCACACAGGGTATTAAATGTGAAAGGTAAAACTGTAAGTTTAATAAATAAAAGTTTTTGACCGTACAAAGGTCTCAAAACCCCAAACACAATAAGGCAAAATAAATCGATGGATTCTTTTATATAAAAACCAAGGAAATATTGACAAACTTATCAGTTGGATGAGCGATACTAACAAGAGTCCAAACTGATAAGGGATTAATAATACTTAAACCATACAAGGAACTTGATTTGTTCATTCGCAAATCAACAAAAAAGGCCATGACCCAGTAGAAAAATAAGCAATGAACAAAAACATACGTGTTTCCCAGTAGATCAAAGTGTAAGATTTTAAAGGTTTGGACAGGCAACTTACCAAAAGGGAAACCCAAATGTTGAACAATTATATGAGGGGATGTCCAACCTTAGGAATTAGGAATCAGAGAAATGCAAAATAAGATGAAACCTTACTTTCAAACCATGCCATTAACAGAGTAGGCAGCTGCGTGGTACTGATGCCGGTGGGGGTGTGCATAAGACTGGTGATCTCACGCACACAGTGGGGCTGCAGACTGGTGTGGTTTTCCCGGAGGGCAATCTGACAATCTGAATCAAACTAAATATTCAGAGGGGCGCCTGGGTGGCTCAGGCGGTTAAGTGTCCAACTTGATTTCGGCTCGGGTCATGATCTCAGGGTCCTGGGATCAAGCCCCACCATTGGGCTCAGTGCGGAGTCTGCTTGAGATTCTCTCTCTCTGCCCCTCCCCCCTGCTCACACACACTCTCTCTGTAAAATAAATAAGTAAAATTAAAAAAATTTAAATATTTATAAACCTGGCATTCAGCACTCTGACTCCTGTTATATACCCATGGAGGAACTCATGGAAAGCCAACGAGGGAATTATGTTCAAAGATTTTGAGATAACAGAACTATCAGAGCCAGCTCTTCACTTTAGAAAACTATAAGTAAAATGTGGTGGCTGCACGGTAGGAAACTCTACACAATCCTCAGAATAACCTCCTAGAGGTACATATTGCAGAAGAAGTAATGTGTCAATCATATTGTTCTTTGGACATAAAAAAAGAAGATGCCTTTTTCAAAGTGTAAGCCTTTACTAATGAGTCTCATGATAACAAATTGCCCAGCTCCTTCTCCTTAGGAAATAGACAACTATAACATCTGTTGTTATCCCAAGTCTTTATTGAGAAGTAAAGAGCTCAATATTACACATTAATGAAATTCTCGATTGTCAAGAGCCTTGCATATGTAACATCTTCTTAATAATACAAATATAGAGGGGAAGGTGACAGGACAGGGATGAGAAGGAGTTCTCCATGACTAAAGAGAAAAAATGTAACTTACGGGTAAAAAAAGAATGTTGTAAAGTCTTCCAGGTGGAATGAGAAACAGTATAATAATAAGTATACAGAAAGACTTTCTAGTGACCATAATTGATATATGGCACGTGGTCAATACACATGGATACCACATAATGGCTGCACTTCAAATTGAAGTTTGTTTACAGGTAACAACACGGTACACAAATATAAATACATACACTCAATATCCCTGGAATGCAAACTGTAGTACCTAGTAATAAAGAACTTTGTGTAGCATATTCAAAAGAAAGTAAAGATGGAAAGAAAGCCGTGAGAAATACTGTGAAAGAAACCCAATGTGTACTTCTATAGAAGCCAGCTTAAAAAGTTCGTTTGCTCATGTTTTCATTGAAGATTTGACTGACATATTCTACCAATTACATGAACAACATGTGAATTCAGAACAAGGCACTAAAACACAGGCCTCTCTTCTATTGTTCTCCGAGTCAGAGTTAATTCACCAACACTGCATTCTCCCTTGCTCGTCCCATTAGCTCTCAAAAGGTTACCTCATTCAACACTTTTGAAAAATAAGATCAAATTGAGAAATAGATTTCTTCTCCATAAATTTGGTGAGACCCTCTCCTAAAAAAAAATCTGCTGCAAATTCAAACTTTGGCTGATACATTCTGATAATGAATTTTCAATACCAGAAACTCCTTTTGATTAAACTGAGCTCCATTTAGGTTATAAATTCTAGTTTTGAAATGCAGGATCAAGAGTATCTGAGTTCTCAGAGTGCCTGGGTGGCTCAGCTGGTTAAGTCTCCAACTCTTGATTTCGGCTCAGGCCATGATCTCAGGGTCAAGAGATCGAGCCTCATGTTGGGCTCTGTGCTGAGCATGGAGCCTGCTTAAGGTTGTCTCTCTCCCTCTTCCTCTGCCCCTCCCTCTCATAAAAAAAAAAAAGTATTTGAGTTCTATATTCTCAAAATGGCATAAAACTCAAACTTTAGTCTCACAATATTTATATGTGAATTTCAAAACTTTAAATTCTTGTGTAAAATGAACATATTTGCTGAGTTAAAACCTTCAGTACATACTTAAAACATTTAGTAAGTTGGCCTTCCCAGATTAGTTACATTAAAATCAGTTGCAAATAAGTTGGGCCACCTGGGAAGAGAATATATGGACAAATCTTTATACTAAACTAATTATTAGAGTAAGTCAAACTTAGTGATAGGGCTCCTTCCAATTTTCCCATGTTATGGTTGGAGATGACATTTTAATCCACAATCAATCTTCGGTGGCTTCATGCAGTTCAGAGCAAAAATAGTTTGAATTAAGTGAAACAGTTATTCCCACAGACATTAGATATGATACAATACCCAAAGAAAAGCACAGTATCCAACATTTATCTTAACCATTCATACAAATTCTAGCATAATGACTACATACCCATTCTATGGTTTGGAGTTCTTTTCGAGTTTATCTTTTAGAAAAGTTTACCCCGGGGAAGGTAGTTGAAACAAAAGGCTCCTTTCTTAAAAGAAAGCTATGTATTACGTCCGTGAGCTCAGCCTGCATGGGAAGGAATGCCCCTACTTTCCCTTCACACACTGGGCAAAAATGACAATACTGATTTTCATGATTGGAAATAAAACTCAGAAGCCTTTTGACGCTTCTCTCCTCACTTTAAAGGCTACTTCATTGTCAACTGAGAAGACTCATCCATGGTAGCAAGTGGGCATACCACTCCATATACTTTACAAAGACTTTTTTTCTAGACTCAATATTTACACCTAGATTTCTTACATGAGAAAAAAAAAAATCTTCTTTGATCCATGGGCAAGGTTTATCTAAAATAAATTAAAGTGCAGAAGACTTAATGGCTGGTCACAAAGACCGGCATCCTACGGTGGTCAGGGCATATAAAGAGTGTACCTGCCCTGGCAATGCAGGACACGTCAGCCCCTTTCTCACCGATTAGGAACACATACTAGCACACATCCTAGACGTGGATATTGGAACTCCCGTTTGCACCTACACCTTCCATTCCTTCTGTAGACTGGGAGGAAGAAGGGCGGGAGCTTCTGGGGCGAGCCTGACCGTTCAGTCCCATGGGTGTGCCTAGACCATGACTAGTTTGGGAAGCTGCATCATCGGATTCGCAGCGTCCCAGTTCCTCCCGTACTAGCCGCTCCATCTGCTCCCTGTGGATTTCACTGTCACGACCCAGTCTTTCATCCTAATAAAGGAAAAAGAGACCATGATGTTGGGGGTCGGGCGAGGCATACTTCTGTACTTAGAAGTTGCCCTAGGAAATTAAGGGGCCAAATTATCTGTCAGTAAGTGACTCTGGCGATTTATAGCATATACAGCAATTCTCTGAGCTACTGGAGTAACTTTTTTGCTTAATTGTACCATTCAGTTGAAGGCCGAAGCATCAGTGCATGCAGTATTACATAACACCTCCAGATTATCATCTGATGGCACGGATCTGCAGTTACACAGACATTTTCAAAAAACGTCTCAGATTTAAGGTTATAAAATATGACTATCCTGATATTTTACTGAATCAGTGTTTCTGTGTCAGATGACCACTTACCTCCGCCACCCCATCCAGCAGCCTTCCCAACACTTCCCTTCTCTTCAGTTTGGCCCGCTCCATGATCTCCAGCTTCACAATCACAGCGTCAATCTTGGACACGATGCTGCCGATGGAGTGCTCCATGCGGTCCACTCGTCTCACCAGCCTGTTGGAAACCGCAGGTGAGAGGGGTCAAAGCCACCTTGTGCAGTTGGTTGCCTTTTCAGCCCAACTGGCTTTTCAAACGGAAGTGCTAAGATTTTTTTTCTTAAACAATATGATAATCTGAAACACATTCTAAGTAGTCTCAAACTTCAGTGATAAACTCATATATTGCTGATGGGAATGCTAACTGGCACAACTTCTCTGCAAGTCAGCATTGTATTACAAGTCTTAAAAACATATGCTTGGCTTTTATTCAGATATTCCATTTTTTGAAAAATTTCTAAGGGAAATATGTATATGTGTGATTTTTTGGGCTACCAGCATACTCATTAGAGTTCTGCTTATTAATAGTGGTTCATTGAAAAATGGTTACATTAGGGGTGCCTGGGTGGCTCAGTTGGTTAAGCGTCTGCCTTGGGACTCAGGTCATGATCTTGGGGTCCTGGGGTCGAGCCCTGCATTGGGCTCCTTGTTCAGTGGGGAGCCTGCTTCTCCCTCTCCCCCTTCCCCGGCCTGTACTCTCTTTCTCTCGTTCTCTCAAATAAATGAATGTTTTTTAAAAAAAGAAAAATGGTTATTTTTATAATTAACAGAAAATTATTCAAATATGTTATTGTTCATCTATATAATGGAATTCCAAGGAGACACCAGAAATTATATGGTGATGGAATATTTAATGAAATAGTAATGTTCACAATATATTAAGTAAATAAAGTAGTTAGAAAACACTGTTCCCTAATGAGTGAATGTTTTGAATAAAATAATTTTGAATAAAATTATTCAAATAATTTTGAATAAAAAATTATGTAAATGCTTTAAAAACACAGAAATGGGAGACAACCTCTGGGATGGTGGTTTGAGGGCTCTGTAGGCACTCTCCCCAGAGAAACAACCATAACTGTTAAAAATTATTTAAAAATTTTTTTTTAAATTCTATAAATCTTTTTTTTTTTCAAAGATTTTATTTATTTATTTGACAGAGAGAGAGAGAGACAGCACAAGCAGGGGGAGCAGCAGGGAGAGGGAGAAGCAGGCTCCCGGGGGCTCGATCCCAGGACCCCGGGATCATGACCTGACCTGAAAGCAGACGCTTAACCAACTGAGCCAGCCAGGCACCCCAATTCTGTAAATCTTCTTAAGAGTATACAGCAAATGAAGAAGCATTTATTTAAGAAAATTCACTGGATTTTAGTAAGAAGAGTGAGAGTCTATGACATGTGAGCTACGGTCTGCTCCCTCTCTGTCTCCCCTAGCTCATTGTGACAGAAGGGTCACTCCAGTTGGGTTCGGCAATGGACCCAGGGCCCCCACTCCCTCCAGCTCCCAGTGGGGGCCTATGGTATCTCCCAGGGAGGAGTGGGCTGCTGCATTTCTCATCTCTATGTCTCCACCTCCAAATCCATGTTGCAGAGGATCTAATCCAGGCAAGAGTGGCTGGGAGGAATGATGTTTTCCTCCACCCAGCTGCCCACTGTAGGCTGGAGTTTCCATGCCAGGAGAGGAAAACTGAGAAGACTGAAGGCTGCCCTCCTAGCCCAGTGGCTTATTCATGAAACAGGGGTATCACGTGGGTAAGTAGACCACTGTCCCTGCACCTAGCTCTGAAGGAGTGGCACAGAGGTTTTGCCCGGGAGGAGAGTCAGGCCACAGAACAGAGAGCTCCAAGGCTTCCTCCAAGAGAACTGGCTTTTTGGAACAAAGTGCTAAGCCTAAGAGTGCTCCTCAGAACAATGGGGATTGTGGTGATAAGCCGTTAAGACAAGGCCGGTCACCTCATGAGACAAAAAAGTTAAACTGTTTCCAGCTAGTTTATCAGAAAGAACCAGGAAAAGAGACAGCTAAGAAGACTGCTAAAGACTGGCTTCAAAAACTACCCCTGCAAAGGGGCATGAATTGAATTGGATCAGAGTGTGGAACAGTTTATATCCCGAGGCTTTACTGAAAACAACAGACCCATCAGCCAACAATTAGTGGAAGCCAAGAGGTGGAAGTAATATCAACAGAGGCGGAAGGCTTCCCAGAGAGAACAGGGAAAGACAATGAGAGCCCTGCTAAGAGCACTGTCTTTTCAAAGTGACTGTGGTGGTCATGTGGTCATGTGGTCAGGCCCGTGGCCTCTGAGAAGCAGAATCAGAGGCTTCACAATGTGGGGGAAACAGACTTCATTAAAAAACAAGCATGCAAACAGCAAACAGAACAAGCCTGGGGGATAGGGGAGGAAGAAAATTAGTATTCTAAATTGCTATAATATTTATTTAATATCTCCAGTTTTCAATAAAAAAATATGAGACATGCAAAAACACCAGAAAAAAATGTGACCCATAACACATAAAGGAGGCAACAGAACTTGCCTTTGAGGGGGCCCAGAGAGATTTAGTAGACAAAAAGCTCAAAGTAGCTATTATAAATATATTCAAAGAACTAAAGAAAATCAGGCTTTAAAAGATATAGGAGAGTATGAGGACACTGTCTCATCAAATAGAGAATATCAAGAAAGAGATGCAGATTATTTCAAAGAACCTAAGAGAAATTCTGGAGTTGGAAAGTACAATGAATGAAAGGAAAAAGTCCCTAACAGGGTCTCAACAGCAGATTTGAGCTGGCAGGAGAAAGAATCAGCACACTTGAAGATAGATGGACAGAAACTATGCAATCTGAAGAGCAGAGAGAAAAAAGAGTGAAGAAAGATGTGGGATATCAGTAAGCACCCCAACATATCTAGGATAGGAGTCCCAGAAGGAAAGGAGAGAAAGCAGCAAAAAAATATTTGAGGACATAATAGTTGAAAACTTCCCAAACTTGATGAAAATATTATATATCCCAGCAGCTTAATGAACTCCAGCTAGGATGACTGCAAAGAAATCCACATCCAGACAGATCATGGTCAAAATACTGAAACACAAAGACAAAGAAAATATCTTGCAAGCAGCAAGAGAAAAGTGACCCATCACATACAAGGGAACTTAAGTAAGATTAACAGCTATCTTCTCATCAGAAATAGTGGAGACAAGAAAAAAATGAAGGAAAAATAAAAATATTCCTAGATAAAGAAAAACAGGGAATTCAAGCTAGCGGGCCTGCTTTATTTTTTATTTTTATTGTTAAAGATTTTATTTATTTGAGAGAGAGAGAGAGCGTGCACAGGCTGGGGGGAGGGGTGGAGGGAGAGGGAGACGCAGACTCCCCGCTGAGCAGGGAGCCTGACATGGGGCTTGACCTGAGATCATGACCTGAGCTGAAGGCAGACGCCTAACCGACTGAGCCACCCAGGTGCCCCAGCAGGCCTGCTTCTATTAGAAGAGATACTAAAGGAAGTTCTTCAGGCTGAAAGCAAGTGATCCAGATAGTAATTGGAATCCACATGGAAAAAACAAATAGCACTGGAACATGTTATTATGTAACTGCAAAAGACAATACAAATGCATATACCTTTTCCTTTTTTTCTCTTCACTGATTTCAAAAGCAACTGTGTAAGACCATATGTACACAATTGTATTGTTGGGCCTATAACACATATAAATGTAATAATATATTTGACAATAGCAGGACAAAGGAGGTGGGTAAGATCAAAGTTGTATTGGAATACGGAAATGACACCAGATGGTAACTTGAATCCACAGGAACAAATGAGAAGCAGAAATGGTAAGAAAAAGAATATGCTGAATTCTATAAATATATACTTTCTCTTCTTTCTTGTCTCAGCTCTTTTAAGAGACAAAATTATTGAAGTGATCATTATAACATTGTGATACTGGATTTGTAACATATAATAATGGCACAAAAAGGGGAGGAGTTAACAGAGTTATATAGGAATGATATTTCTGTATCTCCTTGGATTAAATTAATATAAATCTGAGGTAGATTTTGATAAATTTCTTTGTATATGTTAAGTCCTAGAGCAACCACTAAAAACATAACTGAAAAATGTAATGAAAAAAACTATTAAAGGAATTAAAATGTTACATTAGAAAACACCCATTTTATTTTTTTTAAAGATTTTATTTATTTATTTGACAGAGAGAGACACAGCAAGACAGGGAACACAAGCAGGGGGAGTGGGCTTCTGCCGAGCAGGGAGCCTGATGTGCGGCCCAATCCCAGGACCCTGGGATTGTGACCTGAGCCAAAGGCAGACGCTTAACGACTAAGCCCTGAAAAGTATCCATTTTATGTAAAAGAAAGCAATAAAGGAGAAAAGGAGGAACAAAAAAGACATGAGACCTATAGAAAATGAAAAATAAAATGGTAGATATAAGTCCAACTATATCAATGATAACATTAAATGTAAATGAAGTAAACATTCTAATCAAAAGGCAGAGACTATCAGACTGGATAAAAAGACCAGATCCAACTAAATGGTGTCTACAGGTGACACACTTGAGATTCAAGGATACAAATAGGTTGGAAATGAAAGAATGGAAAAAGATGTATCATGCGAAAAGGAACAATAAAAACGCTGGAGTTGCTATAGTAATATCAGACAAAAAAAGACTTTAAAACAAAAAAAATCTTACTAGAGATAAAGTAGGACATTTTATAATGAAAACAGGGTCAATCTATTAGGAAGATGTACCAATTATAAACATATATACACCTAGCAGCAGAGTGCCAAAATACACAAAGCAAAACCTTACAGAAAGGAAGGAACAGACAATTTAATAATAATAGTTGGAGACTTTAATATCCCACTTCCAAAAGCAGAAAGAACAAATAGGCAGGATGACAGGAAATAGATTTAAATAACACTATAAACCAACCAGACCTAATAAATACCTATAGAACACTCCACTTAACAACAACAAAACATATATTCGTCTCAGGTATATCTTAGGATATACCATGTGCTAAGGCCATAAAAGCATAAAAAAAAAATAAACACATGTAAATGGAGATACAAACACCAAAATGTTAATTGGCATTTTGGTTTAGTGGGAATGGGAGAGATCTTAATGTTTTGTTTTTCTTTATTTGCTGATTTTCCTATAAGGAATATAATACTGTTATCAAAAGAAAAAAACACCATTAAAAGTTATAAAAAAAAAAGAACTGATGATTAGTAATGGAAAGGATCAAATTGTGAGAGGTAGAAGAAGTGGCTTGGTCTCATTTGAACTCATCAGCCCCAATTCTGCCAATTCCTTAATACTTACACTTGAAATTCTTCATAAGAAACCCCACTGGAGATGCTTCCCCTCCTTCTGGAGCTATGCCCACTGTCTTCATCATCATCCTCCTCAGAATCATCCAGGCTTCGTGGGAAACTTCGGCTACTCATGGGACGTGGTAAAGAGCTGTGGTCCAGATCCAGGTCCTCCTGAAGAACATGGGGTCACTGAGTGAGGAGCAAGAACACCTAGTCCCCACAGAACTTCACTGTGGGCTTGGGCAGATGGGAAATGGGCATGTACCATTTAACACCGACTGTGATTCCCACACTTCTAAATTTCATGGACTGGCAAATTTTCAAAACAGATTTTAATGACCAGCAAGGAATTGCTAACTTGTTTGGACAAGAAAGAACATTAAAAATAGAACAACAACAAAAAAAGTAAATGAAGAAATATATTCTCACCTTTTCATAAAAAAACACATTTAATAACTACAAAGTAGGAAGAATATAATCTTAGAAGAAATACAGACTTGTGTAAGGTGATTTTACTCACTGTCTTCTTGTTCACATTTCACTATACCTGGTAAAATTTCCCACCTACCGACACAGTTCTGTGCAGTTTAGCGACCGCTGTTCTCTACTATCTCCTTATAGAAAAGAGATTTTTGTAGAGTATTCACCTATATTCTCTACCTCAATTACCATGGATATTTTTTGGTTTGTTTAACCATTTATTTTTAAAGTTAATGTTAAAAGCTTTTAATTATCCTTTCTGATTATAAAAGACCATTTCATAAGTATTCAAATGGAAGGCAGCTGCTAGTTTTGTTTTACTATAAATGTTAATTTATAGAGCAACTAACTTTATATCCCCTGAGAAATCTTTTCCCCACTCTCATGGACACTGTGAAGTGTGTAACTCCTAGGTTTCCCTTTTCAAGCTGATGACCAAAAAGCTTAGGGCCAAATTTGTAGCTCAGTCTTTAACAAGCATGTATATATTTTTATGGAATGCATTTTTAGCTTCACAGTCTATTTTATATTTCACTTTTGTTTTACCTCATTTTTTCATTTTGATTTTTTTACATTTATGCCAATATATATGTATTTTTACATAATGTTGTTATATATCCTTTTTGGAATATGCTGGGTACTACTACATAAATTGACGGAGACAGAGACAGAGAAAGAGGCAGAAAGACAGAGAGAGACTCTCAGTAATCCACTACTTAGCATGGTGTCTGAAACACAGGCTGAATCAAATCACGTTCTCCTACACTAGACCCACCCTCTCTTTTTCCAAGTCGTCTCTCATCTGCTGATGTTCATGTTCGGTCAGTTCTTGATCTCCATCTTGGTCATATTTTGTGAATATTGCCTCGATCTCTGCATCAGTATGGCCCTTCCTGAAATTATTGAGAGGTTACAGATGAAATCATTCATACACATGGTCTAGTGCAAACACAGAGACATCAAGATGCAGGAAGAAAGGAGAAACTGCTGAATCATCCCTCCTCTTGGGATATGTTCCAGAAAGACACCTCCTCTGAAAAAATAGTGTCTCTCTGAGTACTTGGGCCAGAAATATCCTTATCACCAAGAACTTATCTTTACATAGGAATTTCACAGGGTCTCAGAAAGTGATTCTCACCCTTTGAGATCTTGTCGAAGTTCATCAAAGTTTAACTTGCCTCCCCCTTGCCTCAGACTCTCAGAAATGTCATCCACAGCATTTTTTTTCAGTTTTAGTTTGACCAAGGCTTTATGGTAGCCCTGTTGAAATGAAAAGATTGGGTTTAGTTTACTCTCTTTTTAGTTAGTCTCTTTTTGTATGTGTTTACCATCCATTTACACGGTAGTGCAGGGCTGTCAAAATGACCTTGCAAGCCCGAACTGCGCAAGTGATGTTAATAATCAACAGGAAAAATTATGATTGCTCTGCGACCTTTAAAACATCTTATCAGGGGCGCCTGTCTGACTCAGTCAGAAAAGCATGTGACTCTTGATCTCGAGGTCATGAGTCTGAGCCCATGTTAGGTGTAGAGATTACTTAAATAAACTTAAAAAAAAACCTTTTAATCAAAGCATTAAAAACTCCCTTGGTATTGGTTATAAGTTTACAGGGAAGTTTAAAAAAACAGTAAAATGAATATTTATTTGTAAAAATTTTATCCAGGGTAGTTTGAATAGTGCTTCCCTCCTTCTTGTATAACGGATATGGAGGAAGCCTCTTTTCTATGTCTTCAGGAACTTTGATAATCCTTTCTTTATATGGATCAGCTCCAACATTTTATCCTTTGCCCTTCCAATGCTGTAAAATATTCCCAGAGTTCCTTGAATGTGACGTTGTTTGCCAGCGTCACTTCCTTGGAGACACTGTCGGTACTTTCCATCACAACCACTACCCTCATTCATGTTGATAAACTTGCCTTCACTAAGTTCTTTGACTGCATATCTATCTTTCCACAGATATTCAAGATCTTGAAGGGTAGCAGCGCCGACATTCCCACGGCCATCTACCTATTCTAGAACTCTTACATTTGTTTTGAACTTCACTTTCAGTGTTATCAGTCTTTGTTTCTTTGCTCAGCTTTCATCTTTGCTGGCCCATTCTCCCTTTCAGATATGCACTCTTGTGACACATCATGTGGGGGTTTCTCACAGGGAGAGAGAGAAGCAACACAACTACATGTTTTGTGTCTGCACTAAACAGCGGGTGCTCGGTGACCTAGCCTAGACTCTGTAAGAAGGGATGTTATTGCTCACGGGTCAGGGTACACATCAGTTATTTATGTAACGATTTATAGCCTGAAGAGCTAGCGTGAAGTTTATATGTTATGCTATTACAGTTAATATACTGTGATAACTGAAATGTTCTGTGACAACTGGAAGTTTGTACTTTATATTCTTTTTTTTTTTTTAAAGATTTTATTTATTTATTTGAGAGAGAGAGAATGAGAGATAGAAAGCCCGAGAGGGAAGAGGGTCAGAGGGAGAAGCAGACTCCCTGCTGGGCAGGGAGCCCGATGTGGGACTCAATCCCGGGACTCCAGGATCATGACCTGAGCCGAAGGCAGTCGCTTAACCAACTGAGCCACCCAGATTATTCTTAGTCAAGATACTGTGACAACTGAAATAGGAACTGTGTGGAGAGGCTGGTGTTATTTAACATGAAATAACTGAAATCTGTGCATCTCAGAACCAAAGTGCAATGTAAGGATTGCTTGTATACACCTTGGAGATTTGCTAACATGTAAGAAACTGTTTTGCAAAATTCAGGATAACCCAAATCTTAAGGCCCCATCCAGGGTTTTTTTTTTTCCTTTAAATTTTTTTATTGTTATGTTAATCACCATACATTCCATCATTAGTTTTGGATATAGCGTTCTATGATTCATTGTTTGTGCATAACACCCCGTGCTCCACGCAGAACGTGCCCTCTTGAATACCCATCACCGGGCTAACCCATGCCCCCACCCCCCTTCCCCCAAGGGGTTTTGTTTTAAGAACTGGAAGTTCTCTGTTCCTACATGATTCACAGACAACACAGTCTTAGGACTTGAACCAACAGAAAAAGATCACACAGTCAAGGAGCCACCGGTATCTTAGTAAAATGATGTTAGGGAACAGGCTGTGTACTTTAGATGTAGTTATTTGTTGTTGCTTAAGTTTTATACTTTAAACCAAATAAAGAAGTCACATGGAGAAGAACAAAGCTACCCAACTTTCCTGTCCTGCCCTTCCATTTATTTAACAACTTCCTGAGAAGGTGCGTAAGTGAAAGTTCTCAGGCCCTTACTCTGTGGCCTTTTTCCTTTGACTATTTTAAAACTTCCTTGGAAGGACAAGGATAAAGGGTGAACTACAAAATATTTGCTTCTAAAACTTTTTTTTTCTTTTTTAAAATTGTATTTGAGATAGAAAAAATGGAAATGTCTTTATATTCTTCCCTTTCAGTTTATTCTGAACTCTGGATCTGCAAGTGGCCGCCCACTAGCGGTGTCCTCAAAATAAGTAAAGGTAAAACCAGCAGCTCAGCTCTTAAGAGTCAAAAGAGATTGTGGAGAATTTAATTCTAGGGCATTAAATGATTTCCAGAATTGAAGTCCAGGCTAGCAACATACCCATCTCTAGCTCTAAGACAGAGAACATTTAAATTATTCCTGAAATGTAGCAATCTACTCTTTACTTTACACCGTAACAGTGGATCAGTGTTGATGTGTAAATCTGGCTGAAACAATGCTCACTTTATGTAGAAAATAAAACAATTCTGAGAATTAGGGCTTGTCATACCTTTTTGATAAGATCTGAGAGTTCCATTTCAGCTTTCTGCTGGGCCAAATCAGATTTAACTTCAGAGTAAGTATCATTGATGATGGCCAAAAACATATTCTGTTTGTAAATCAAAGGAAAGTTGAGATTAAAGAAGAAACCTAAATATACTTCCTAAACATCAACCCGAAATTTGACATACGCATTTTTGTTCATTTTTTTTTAATGATCTGATTTCTTAAGAAGACATAAATTAATAGTTTTGCTACTATACTCTTTGGGAAAGTTATTTTTTCCCTTAAATCATGCCAAAGGAAAAGGCAATATATTTTCTTATTTACAAACCATATATTGTGATATATTTTGCAAAAAGAGACAAGAATGAAATACAACAAAATATTGATGTATTTACCTATGGATGGTGGGATTATTTTATTTTATTATTTTTGTTTGTCTACACTTTTTTCATTTGACAGAAATTATTAGAAGTGTAGAACTCTACATAGCTCTTCAAATTTCAACAGTCAATACAGACAAGTGGAATTCTATGCTTCTTCCAAATATTGCTATACAATATTATTTGAGATTTACAGGAGCATATTTTGAAGAGTTGAAAAGATCTCTGCAAATGGGAATACAGTAGGCTTCACAGAAGATAGTCAAGAGAAGCTTAGTGAAAAGACAGACTTTGGAGTCAAGCATACTTGGGTTTCAGTCTTAGCACTGCCAAGACTATATTGTTTAAATGTTCTAATCTTTATTTTAAAATTTATTTGTTCTTACATTAACAAAATGGGAGAAATAATAGTTCCTCCCCTACAGATTTGTTGTAAGAATTAATGAGATAATCTATGTTAAGTGCTTAGGACAGGGCCTCATGCATGGTTAAGTGCTACATAATTTATAGCTATTATCATTCAGTAAAGGTTAGTTCATTTTCCTAACTTTCCCCTCCCCAAGATAATGGTTTGTATTTCCAATTTCCAACACCTGTTTCCCACAGGTTTTTTTTTTTTTTTTAAGATTTTATTTCTTTATTTGACAGAGAGAGACACAGTGAGAGAGGGAACACAAGCAGGGGGAGGGGGAGAGGGAGAGGACCCTGGGATCATGACCTGAGTCGAAGGTAGACACTTAACGACTGAGCCACCCAGGTGCGGCCCCCTCCTCCCAGGTTTTCTTGAAACGCCACACCCAACTGATCAGGTCCTTTAACACATTCCTTTCTGGCATATAGCTCTGGTTTGTGACTACAGTTATGCATTTTTTTTAAGATTTTATTTATTTATTTGAGAGAGAGACAGAGCACAAGCAGGGGGAGTGGCAGAGGGAGAGGGATGAGCAGGCTCCCCGCTGAGCAGGGAGCCGAATACGGGGCTGGATCCCAGGACCCTGAGATCATGACCCGAGCCAAAGGCAGACGCTTAACTGACTGAGCTACCCAGGCGCCCCCAGAGTTATGTATCTGATTATGTCTGTTTTCCCCACAAGTTTGTGGAACCTCTCTGAGGGCAGGGCTGGTCTGGACCCCCAGTACCTAGCACCTTGCCTGGAATATAGTGGTTCAGTAAATATTTATTGAATGATGGGGGAATGAACAAAAAGAGAGCTCTATTATTTTATTTTATTTATTTTTTTAAAGATTTTATTTATTTATTTGAGAGAGAGAGAATGAGAGATAGAGAGCACGAGAGGGAAGAGGGTCAGAGGGAGAAGCAGACTCCCCGCTGAGCAGGGAGCCCGATGTGGGACTCGATCCCGGGACTCCAGGATCATGACCTGAGCCGAAGGCAGTCGCTTAACCAACTGGGCCACCCAGGCGCCCGAGCTCTATTATTTTAATGGGCTATTAAATTGCTACAAATTAAGGAGGAATACTATTTAAGATTCTGTAGCAGAAATGAGAATAAAATATAAAACGCATGGAAGTTCCTGGCTTAATGCTCAATTCCAAGCACAGCTGGAGTAACATCTCCCACTTTCTCCCTCCCAACCCAGGCAATTACTGTTCTCTTTTTAAGTTCCCAAATGGCTGGTAGCTAACGCCTGCTAGTATCTTAGTTGTAGGATTAAAGTGTGGGTCCTCTGAAGAGATTTAAAAAAACTAAAAGTGGCTGAGAAAGGCTACTGAGGATGTGGGGAGAGGAAGCTCCCCCTCCTTCTCTCCATTCTGTCTCAGAAGGTTCGCTTGATTGTGTAATTGGAGGTCTTTCCCTGGTGATGATGGGCTTTTGCTTCCTGGCTCCACTGGACCACCTCACATTACTGCGGCTTCTTTTAAAGCCAGGACAGGGCCGCCTGGGTGGCTCAGTCGGTTAAGCGTCTGACTCTTGATTTCGGCTCAGGTCGTGATCTCAGAGTTGTGAGATCGGGCTCTGCGGTCGGCGTGAAGCCTGCTTGGGATTCTCTCTCCCTCTCCCTCTGTTCCTCCCCCCATTCGTGGGCGCGCTCTATCTGTACATAATAATAAATTGTAAAAAAATAAATAAAAATAATAAAAAAATAAGGTCGGGGCAATAAATTAACACCTGGCAGTCTTCTCAGACAAGTGGCCAACGCTGTACTTGGCTTGTCATTTCTTTAAAGAAAAGTTTGTATTGACAGTAGCTTCCTCCTCTCTCTCTGTGGGGTGCAGGGAGACCATTTCCTTTTTGTGTAATAGCACAAAAATTTACTTTAGTATAAAGACAGAAGCTAAAAGCTTCTTTTCATGTTCTAGTGATTGATTTGATGAAATGACTGAGTAGTTTCAGGTACTGTCTACTAAAAAACAACCTTCAAACAAGTCCACATTTGACCATTTCAAATTGCCACCAGGTCTGTCCCTCATTCGACAGACGGACACACAAAGAAAACTTAGGCGACCTGCAGCTAACTAAAGGGTCTGCTGCAGGGCTCTCAATTCCTGGTGTTTGTTTTCCTAGTAGAGATGCAGGGATTCAGGTGCTCCAGAATCCAAAGTACTACCAATATTAAAGATGAAAAAGGCTTACTGTTCCCTCTATGTTTTCCTTAACATATGACAGGAAAAAGAAACTAGAGAGGCTTAACTTTAAAACTAATGATACAGGGGTGCCTGGGTGGCTCAGTTGGTTGAGCGTCTGACTCTTGGTTTTGGCTCAGGTCATGATCTCAGGGGCATGTGATGGAGCCCTGTGTTGGGCTCCAGTGCTCAGTGAGGAGTCTGCTTGAGATTCTCTCTCTCCCTCTGCCCCTCCCCCTGCTCATACTCTCTCCCCCCTTTCTAAAATAAATAAATAAATCCTTAAAAAACCCAATAAAACTAATGATACATATGTATAAGATACAAACAGACTTGTTTGATATTCCTGACTCTTTCAATCCTACTAAAGTATATCTAATACTCAATCTGTAAATACTATATACATAACCACTAAATACTTGGACCAACTTTGGGGATATTACACTGAATTACTGAACTTTACACAAAGGATCTTATAACATCTATTGAAAATGGAGACAATTTTGTTTTCTTACGATCATGATTGATGTAAGGAAAGACTTAAATTAAGTATTAGTGTTTAGATAAAAAATACCCACTGCCTAGGTTACATTAACTTAATTGAATAATTTCTTGGTAGACAAATAAATGTGTAAATGTTAAGATGAAGAACAAAATGCCTTCTAAAAAATCTCAACTAACTTAGGGTGAGAATGTTAAAAATGTTAATTTGTACCAGATCAAGAGAATGAAAAAGTATTTTGAAAGTAATTTTTTTTTAAGATTTTATTTATTTATTTGACAGAGAGAGACACAGCAGAGAGGGAACACAAGCAGGGGAGTGGGAGAGGGAGAAGCAGGTTTCCCGCAGAGCAGGGAGCCCAACGCGAGGCTCGATCCTAGGACCCTGGGATCATGACCCGAGCCGAAGGCAGACGCTTAACAACTGAGCCACCCAGGCGCCCCGAAAGTAATTTTTAAAGCAATTTCCACTCATGGTTAGATTTAGTTTTATTTTGTATTTTTTGGAGCAAGAGCGGGGGTTGGCGGGGGAGAATCTCAGAATCTCAAGTATGCACTGAGCGTGGAGCCTGACACAGGGCTTGATCTCACGACCTTGAGATCATGACCTGAGCTGAAATCAAGAGTTGGATGCTTGTATAACACAAATTATATGACTGAACCACCCAGGTGTCCCTACATTTAGCTTTAAATTTAAAATCTGAATGTTCTTTGTAGGTAGTCTCTAGATGTGTTAAATATGAGTAAGTTAAAACAAAAATATCTTAATCTTCACAAGCAATAATTCACCCACATATTACTCTTGACATCCTGGATCTAGCTTGCTTTGTCAGGTCCAATTTTTTTTTTTTTTTTTAAAGAAAAGAAGAAAAAGAGGAATGAAAAGTCATGCTAGCAAGTGATCATAAAAGTGCCAACATCTGTGTTAAACAAGCATGTAAACACGTAAGCATTCTACTTTTTCGGCAAAGCACTATTTTAGGTGACTTTATAAATCTGCATGTGAACTAATTTTTTTTTTTTTTTTACATTGAAGAGACACTTATATATGGATAAATGAAAGACCATGGAAAAGATATTTGGTGAAGACTTAAAACTGAATCAGTGAGAAGTAAAATATGTCTTCTGGTATCTACAGTTATTCCTGGGTCTTTTAAAAAATGATAGAGCGTGAGAGAAAAAGGAAGATGGTGATTTTATGATGGTGATTTATGAAGTTTAAATCACCTCACTATAAACAAAAGTGTACATACCAAAAGAATGAAGAACATAAAGAACACAAATGTAGTGAAATAAATTGGTCCCAAAACTCGATTAGCTTCCTCAATCTCTGCGAAGTTGATATCACCCAAAATGATACGGAATTGAGTGAAACTATAAAAACAAAACAAAACAAAACACCACAATACAAAAACAAAGAATGTCCAGCATTGATGTAACATTCCTTAAAGATGATTTCACACTTTTGGACCTTTTATTCAGTACAGATAGCTGCCAAATAGTAGAAAATTGTCAATCCCTTTGGAAAATTCTTGCTACTTATACGACCAATTGAAAGTTCTGGAATAAAAATAACATGTTTTCATGCTAAATATGTTATTTCCACTTGGTTAAAAAGAAAATATAATAATATTATTAGATGACATAAAGCAATTAGCTATAGGAATTTAACACATAATCTGGCTAAAACATGGTTAATTCTAAACTTCACCACGGTTACCCTCTTAAAAAACCTCTTAAAAAAGACTTGAAGGATAGCCAAACTTGTATGCATTCAAAGATCCAATATCCTCACATGCACTCAAAGTGGTGTTGAGTGGCCATGTCTTGCCAACTCTGGGTCTTAATCAGTAAAATCATTTCCGTTCCTGACTTCCATCAGTGACATTAATTAGCTGTCCTTCAGTACAAAGCCTTTTTAACTTCTATTATCATAATTCTCTTCTTTCCTAACTCCTTTCTAAATGGCATGGAAATCTAATACTGGTTATTATTATTTTTTTTTAGTCTTCATATCATATCTGAGAACTTTGGAAAAGACTGAAAATTCCTGTACTGATTTGAATTTCTCTTAGAATATTAGAAATATTATTTTTTCTTAGAAAATAACTCCAAGTTTAAAACATGTGGCAACAATACTGAATAAGAATGAAAATATAGGCAAACGTCTCTTAAAAGCTGCCATGTGCACTGAGTGCTAAGAAGCCCTCTGTCTTTGTAACAGTATTGCTTTACTACAGCTGTTCTACTATGTCTCATTAATCTAGAGCTGCTATCTTAAGCTTATCAGCATTATGCATTACCCTCTTTGCATCGGTGGGTCATCGCTTCTGGGAAAGATAATTAATTCTTATTTTTAAATAACTATTTTAAAATACTTGTTGATTAAATAGCAACTGTGAAGACTTCTCTATCCTTAAGAAGGCAGTGACATCTCTAATTAAATTTTTCTTTTTAATTTCATATATACTTACATACACTCTTGGAAAGTACTGAAGTCATCAACTTGAGTGCCAAAGACGAGGTAGGCCAACTGAGCATACGCTAAGAAAATAATGAAGAACATAATTGCAAAGCCAAAGAGGTCTTTGGCACACCGAGACATGGTTGTGGAGAGCTGACTCATGGTCCTGTTAAAGTTGATGAATTTGAAGAGCTGTAACAGAGGGAAGATATCAACAGATGAATGGGTGAACAAAACGTGGTAGATACGCACAATGAAATGTTATCCAGCCTTACCAAGGAATGAAATTTTGATATAGGCCACAACATGGATGAACCCTGAAAACATTATGCTAAGTGAAATAAGCCAGACACACACACACAAAACAACTATTATATGATTGCACTAACATGGAGTAGCTAGAATATGGAAATTCATTGAGATAGACGAGGTTACCAGGGCCTGGGGTGAGGGGGGAATTTGGAATTAGTGTTTACTGGATACAGAGTTCAGCTGGGATGATGAAAAAGTTCTGGAAATGCATATGGTGATTGTTGGCAACAATGTGAATGTAATTAATGTCACTGACTTGTACACTTAAAAATAGTGAAAGTTATAAATTTTATGTTATGTGTATTTTACAACAACATTTTTAGCAGAGAGAGGATAATGACTTGCTTTTTTCCCTAAACCCAGCAACTTCTATTTTCTCATTCAAAGAGTATTTGTTGAGTGCCTAACATGTGCCAGGCCCTGTTCTTGGAGCTGGGAACAGCAGAGAACAGAACAAAGCTCCTGTTCTGATGTTGCTAAAATTTTACGTGATGGTTGCAATACAGTAAAAACAGGTTCAAATCATAATTAAGAGGATTAGGGATATTCTTCCCCCAAGAAAGATTAAAAGAGGGGGGAAAAAAAGCCACAAATGAAAACTAGTGAAGAAAAACAAAAAAAGAACCCTCCAGGAAATACTTACTGCATGTTATTAACTGTCATTCATTGTTTAGCGACTATGTGCCAGGCATTATGGGAAGGGCTATGTATACTGACTCAGATCTTTGCAATGAGATTGAAATATTGGTGTCCTGCCCTCAGGAGGCAGCCAGGGCTCAGAGCCAGCAGCTGAACTCCGCTTTGTCCGACAGCAAAGCCATACTGAACATTTCTATAGGCAACACACTAAGGATGGCTGTTCAGGTTGCTTATCCCAGCCCAGACGCATGACAACCTGCATAGCTCTAGCTCAAAGTCCCGATGGAAAACCATTAGGGGGATACATCAGAAGTCAAGTCACAGTCCCTGCCCTAAAGAACTTTAATGGTTCTTTAAGTTTCGGAAGCAGAATAGTTACAAGGAAAACACTAAATAAAACACTCAGCCTGAGGCACAAATTGAAAGGAAATCTCTAGAATTTACTCTTATACGCTGTTTTGGGCCACAATAAACGTTTTTTTGAGGGTTGTTGTAATCACATTACTTAATTCCTATTGGATTTGGATTATTTATTACTATTTTATGATAAAGGTTTGGTGTGTGAGTGGTAGTTTTTCCTGACCAAGCATGTAACTAAATAAATAGCAAGAGAGATATAGGATGAGGCCTACACCCTCTGATAAATCTCAGGCCTTCCAGGTGTGAGTACCAATTCAGGAAAAAAAATAACTGTTGGTGAGTAGCTTCTAGAACAGTGCTGTTTAATAAAACTTTCTGTGACGATGGAAATGTTCTTTATTTCCACTGTCCAGTACAGTAGCCATCAGCCACATACAGACATTGAGGCCTTAAAATGTGGCTAGAGGGACAGAAAAACTGAATGTTCAATGGCATGTAATTTGATTAATTAAAATTTCAATTTCAATAGCCACTTGGGGCTGGTGGTTACCATCTGGATAGCAGAGTGACATGCAGGTAGCTGCCTCATTACTACTAAAATTTCCTGCATCTCCAGAATTGAGGCTCATTTGTATATGAAATGCCCTAACCTTTCACATACATGGAAATGTACACTATGTTTCAGAAAAGAAGGAAACAAATAATTAAGGTACTACTTGGAAGAGTATGGATCTGTCCCAACCTTAATTCTAGGTAAAGTTTCCGTATGGCCTCCACCCAGAAAAGAGGCAATCCTTCTGCAGATCATTTCCAATACATCTTTCCATCCCTTCCCATCCGCACCCCTCATTCTTGGTTCCTCTTCCTTCACCTGGTCACACCATAACAGGTGAAACCCAGACCGGTCCTTGTGTTAGTGTAGCCGAGGGCCCCAGGCCCAAATGACATTGAAAAGGGCTCTTAAGTGCATTTGGTAAACAAACCTGCAGGGACAGGTCTTGCAAGAGTGCAGGTCAGGTCATAGGAAGCACCATTCACACTGAGAGGAAGGATCACATGGGTCCTGCTAGTTTACTTACAAAATATGAAGCGGCTATGGCTGGCTATTTGAATTTGGCCACAAAAAGCAAACTCAAGTCCTCCAGCATTTTGTGTGACTCATGTTAGTAAAAAGAAGAGAAAAATATTAAAAACCCAGACCATGAAATTTGTAAATTACCTTAATCCAGACAAAAAATACGATGACAGCAGCTATATTGTTGAACTGTATTTGCCAGTATGCCAGATGCTCAAAGTTGGGGAAAGTATTTTGATCTTCTCGAAACTGTAGTAGCACCTCCACATTGGATGTTCTATATATGTTAATTCCTATAGCTACCACTGACAGCTGGAAAACAAAAGATTTATATATTATTACAGTGTTTTAGAAACATGTAACTTACCTTAAAACGACTATTTTTCCTTACCCATGTATTACTCCTAGGGCTCACCAATCTACTTATCTAAATCACTCATACAAATGACAAGTGTTGAGCACATCCATAAAACAGGTATAACAATAAACCACTTGCATTCCCTTAGCTAGGAAGAGAAATCCAGTGAGTACATGTGTACGTGTGTGCACGCATGCATGCGTACACACACACACACACACACACACACACACACACACAGATATGGTGCTATATTACAAAATCAAACTCAAACAGGAATGCCTTGTTTTTCCTGCCACCCTCATTTAAATCACTTTCCACACTTTCTCAGCCTCATCTTGCTTTGTTTTTGTTTTTTTTTTTCAATTGCCAGCCATACATTCTTTCTACTATTCAACAAATACGAGTGGATGTCTATGTATACAGTACTGTGCCAGGGGCTAAGAGGAACAAGTAGAAGTAAAATGCACAAATTCTGTTCTCAAGAAACTTCTACTCTGGTTCAAGACCAGATATACACACAAAAATAACTAGTAACACAAAAACCTAGTAAGGAGTTGGCATCATACAACATAAGGTGAAGGATGAACAAGACATATCTAAAAAGAGCGCTCTTAAGAGGAAAGAAGATGCTTGGTCTTAAAAGATGGTATGGATGAGGGTCAGAGAGGGCTCAAGAAGACTTGCAGTGGGAATATATGTGAGCCAAGGGCTTCCCTCCTGCTCGTTTCTGTCCCTTAACTCATGACCATGCAACTTTTCACATCAGCTTCAGTTCTGGGCTCTAAAACCAGATCTGAGGAGAACATTGGGCCCTACTTGCATCCATCATCACTGGATTAAGGCGTAGGTGTGGAAAGTGCCAGAGGTTAACCATTACAACCTGGGCCTCCTGTGGGGTCTGAAGCCACAGCAGGTGGGTTGTCACAGGTGCTGAGACCTTTGCTGTCCATTCCCTTTCTCTTCCCATGCATGACAGTCAAAGACCACTTCATTAGCCCTTCTTAAGATGGCTGTCCTGATCACGGCTCCAGGTGCTTATCATAGCAAAGACCTGCCTGGCTACCAACCACAGCTGAAAAAGCCATCGTCACCACCTTTTCTTTGTCTGTGAAGGATTCCCAGAACAAATCTTGTATTTTTGTGCTGGTGGTGGGAATATTTTCTTTGAGTTCTCTGGAATACACTGAAAAATATGTCTCTATGTTGACTTAGTTGAGAGGGAAAGGTTGACTGACTGAACAGTAACTCTTTACCCAACTCTCACTAAGGACAATTGCTTTGTACCCAGGGTGTGGTCGTTTATACAATGTCAATATCATATCAATACACTGAATTTCCTAGAGAATTTTTCTTGAATGAGAGAAAAGAGATGAGGGAAAGAGATTTTGTAAGCACTTGAGTTATGTTCTCCTGAGTTTTCTTTGGGATTCTCATCCCCATCTACAAAAGAACTTTCCTTCCTTAATGTAAGCTTCATAAAGGCAGGGGTTTGGGTTGTTTTGTTCAGTCCTATATCCCCAGTGCTTAGAACAATGCCAGGCACATAGCAGGTGCTCAGAAAATATTTCTTGAATAAATAAATTAATCATTTTCACCCTTGAAACCTACCAATCAACAAAATTATTTGAATTCAGACTTCTTTTTAAGATTTTATTTATTTGAGCGAGTGAGAGAGTGAGAGCCAGAGAGCAAGAGCATGAGTGGGGGGAGGAGCAGAGAGAGAGGGAGAAGCAGGTTCCCCATTGAGCAGGGAGCCTGATACGGGGCTCGATCCCTGGACTCTGGGATCATAACCTGAGCTGAAGGCAGACGCTCAACCGACTGAGCCACAAGGCATCCTGAATTTAGACTCCTTAACAGTCTTCTTTTTATCAGTAATTCTGCTAGAAAGACTGTTTAGGTCAAATAGGTTGACTAAAGCAAGCCCATAGATTTCAGAGTCTTTGTTAAAGAAACAAAAGGAAAACAGGGAAAATAATTTCAAAGTGATTCCAAGATGTTATATTTATATTTAGGGTAGAATTACTTTTCAAGTTTCAGGTGTGCCTTAGTCCGATAAAAATGCCTTTGCTTTTTTTCATGGCACTGAAGGTCCCATGGAGCATAGGGCTTATTTTGGAGGGTGAGCAGAAGGTGTGCCCTCATTTCTGCTGGGTCAGAGAAAGTTTCAAAGGAGAAGAATGATTCCAGTAGCCCTTCCTTATTCTTTACAAAAGCACACTGTCTGAATTGTTGTCTTGGCAGTACTTAGAGTTAAAAAAAAATAAGAACAATAGCACAATGAAGCAAGTTTTCAAAGAAATACTTGCAAAATGTTGTGGCTGCTGAGCCAAAGAAACTATCCTCAATTTCCATGATATCAACAGCTATTTTCTCCGAAGTGGGTACAAGGCCATTCCCTGGGGTGTGGAAATAAAATATGAAAATTTCTATCCAAGTGAAAAGAAAGTATTAGAATTCTATTTGTATTTTTTAACCCAATCTTTCAAATTCTCTGTTGTGTATGTTTTAACAAATGTACCTATTATGCCCCCCCCACACACTCACACAGAGTTTATAAATAAATGGACTATATTAGGGTGTGTTGTTAAAGTTTTCACTGATAGGTGTACATAATCCAAGAGGTTGATTGCCACTGACTATTCTTTTGCTGATAATGAAGGTATTTGGTTAAAATCCAAACAAACCTGCCATTAATGGGCATAATATCACACTCACACTCACCTTTTTACCGTTATTCTCAATGACTTAACTATAAATATATCCATATAAACTAAAAAGGCAGGGTTTGCAACCTTAGAGTTCCAAACAATAATTGTTTTCTAGAATAATTTTCAATGTATATGGACCCACACTCTTCCGTCATGCAGTTCAGAAATATTTTGAAAAATTACTTCCAGTATCCTTCCCTTTCCTGCCTCCTAAATGGTGAAATTCCTTTGTTACTGTTATTAATATACTGAGAATTTGGGGATCCACAGTTTGCCTACAGGCATTGTGTGATGTTACACAGTCATCGTGAAAGAAGGGATGCACTTCTAAATGCATCAGGGTCGAAAGGGTTCCACCCCGAATTCTATAGGGATTTTTATTTGAGGTAAAAGCTCTTTCTGAATTACATATGCATGTAGCCTGAGAGGCAATGGCAGAGTGGCTAAGGTTAGCTAAGGTTAACGTGAGAACTGAACGTACGTCTGGATATGAGAGGCACTCGGAACTGTGTTTGACACACATGATTTCTAAAGCTTTAGCAATTATATTATTGATCCAGTTAATATTACTGTCATGCAGTATAGATCTATATAGTTCTTTTCAATGTCTTAAGCATTCTTTTAGTCACATATGAATAACATTTTTCTGTATTTAAAACATCTTAATATTTTCTATATTTTGCCAACTAATTGTAGTGATGATCTGATAATGACTTGACGTAAATGCTTCACGAAGCCCAAATGAACTTTTGGTTGTTATGGGCAGGGGAAGAATAATGGCCAAGAAGTAGGGTAATGGAAGAGAGAATGCTGATAGGGTAATGCACCACCTACTGAGATTTCAGCAGGGGCTCTGTCAGCAGGCAATGGGCAGTGGAAAGGATGGGCTTTTAGGCACGTAACAGTTAAGCTGCTCTTACATGCTTTGATGTGTAACAGGACTCAGCAAAAGATCATGCATTCTTGCTGAAGGGGGAAAAATTGGCCAAAATGCGTTTCTCCAGGGAGGCCCCTAGAAGAAAGTGATGAGGATGAGGTGGAAGGGAAACCATGTTGAACAAGTGTAAAAATTATAACAGAGTCAAGGGCAGGCAGGGGGTCTACAAGGTGTCATAGTCTTGACTCTATCCTCACTGCCTTCTGATTTCTTGCACCTGATAACAGAAAACCTTGATGGTCCCTCACTGGTATTTTGTCTTTTTTTTTTTTAAGATTTTATTTATTTATCTGAGAGAGAGAGAAAGAGAGAGAGAGAGAGAGACCACAAGCAGGGGTAGAGGGAGAAGCAGGCTCTCCACTGAGCAGGGAACCCAATGCGGGGCTCCATCCCAGAAGTCCTGGGATCACAACCTAAGCCAAAGGCAGACGATTAACCAACTGAGCCACCCAGATACCCCCTCACTAGTATTTTGTACACTGAACTATTTGCAGGAAATTTTAAACTGCTACCCCAAATATTTTCAAGATGTTTCTTCTTGCTGTAACTTTACACATGTGCAGAAAAATACAAAATAATTTTTGCTAGTAGTTGAAGACAAATACCATTAACAATAACAAAAAAAGAATAAACAAAACAATAAACAAAACATTCTTTTCTCCCTCATGTCTCATATGGCATGCCAAAGCCAAATATGAATTACTAAGTTATTCTTTTTTTTTTTTTATGTCTTGGAACTCTTGCTGTATCAGCACAGATGGATCTCTTTCATTTTTTAAAAAAAATTATTTATTTATTTTTAAGTAATCTCTACACCCAACGTGGGGCTCAAACTCATGACCCCGAGATCAAGAGTCACATGCACTTCCAACTGAGCCAGCCAGGTGCCCCACTAAGTTTTTCTTGTTAGTAGTGTGGCTAATTGATAGCTTATCGTAAATACCTCTCTACTTCTATATTCAGAAGGGTTACTCATGCAAAATGAGATATCGATTAGTAACACTGAAGTTGAAATAGCAGAGGAGAATGTTTAGATTCTCCTTCAGGAATATCAGAATCCACAATACTGAGGAGATAGATCAAGGACTCTAATTAACACGTTTTTATAACAGAGTAGGGAATTTGGTGTTGTTCTCAAACCTACCACAATGATCACAACATCCAGACAATTCCAGAAACTCCTGAAATAGTGTAGCTTGTGAATGCGAATTTCCAGTATCTCTTCCACCACATAGTAAAGGATAAAAAAACAAAAGATAATCTCACAGGCTGCCAGGAAGAAATCAAAAGTTGTGACATATCGGATCAGCTTTACAGGCTGAAATTGCCAAGATGGAATCACACCGCCTGTTGCTGGGAATTCAACCAATAACCTGCGTTGCAATAAGAACAATTAAAACAGTAACAACAACAACACATGGATGCAGCCAGGAAGGACATCCATCTATTCTGTCCCTGCACTAATAAGGGATTAAAACGGCAACTACAAGTCACCCCAAAGTAGTGGCAGAGTACTCTTTATCACAGCTCGTAACTACATACTTGTACAATTCTGTGCCCCCAAAAGGAACAAGGCTTCCCAAGTCCTCCTAAAGAGATTACTCCTCCTCAGTCTCCCCTTTACTTTTCCAGTATTTATCCTGCTCAAAATGCTCTATAGTTTTGTTTTGTTTAATGTAGAAGTTAATCAACAAATAAGTCTTTCTAGGACTTCTATTAAATGCAAGTAATTCAACTAGGCAATGAAGAACATAAGAAATATAACTCATGCATTCAAACATGTATGGCCTGTCGAGAAGTAGGATGTGTGTGTATGTATATATATGTGTATGTGTATATATGTATGTATGTGTATATATACACAAACTGGGTTTCTCATTCATTCATTTGGTATCACCTAACTAGCACTGAATAATTTGCCCTAGGGGCTATTCTTGCTACCCTTCCCAGAGCCTACAGTTAATAGGTGTTCAGTAAATGTCTGACAGTCTAAAACAGTAACATATATTTTTTTACATTCACACTGATGGCACTGATGTTTAGTGTTTTAGCGTAAGTGAAGTGAGGATGCTTCTTGCCTAACTCCCATTTCATAGGTGTCACGGTGAGAAAATTAAATGATTCGTTTAATGGTACAACTTTCCTATCAAACTAGTAATAGAATACCTAGCTCCTTAACTTTAAGACTTTTAAAAAACCTTCAGTCAACTATTAGGTATAACTATCTCTCCCTTTCCAGGATCAGTAGCCACACCTAGAGCCTGAGCGTCTAGGACTCAAGCAAGAGCAATAATCAGGTCCAGGCAGAAACTATGGCAAATTAGAATTGGCCAAAGAAGAGTGAAAATTCTTCCTTCCTGTTCACTGTCAATCTCCTGTTTTTTGTTTGTTTTTTGTTTTCTTCCCATTCGATGCGTTGGAGAGTATGGGTAAGAACCAAAAACCCAGGAGAGCAATACTGAAATGAGGCGCCTCGTCACAGCTTCAGTGTGAACTTGGAAGGGCAGAAAGTAGCCTCTGTGCTGTCTTGCTCTGGCCCTGCATCTGTCAACCCTCCAGAAACGTAGACAGCAGCATAGAGAAATGAAATAATCGCCTTGACAATATTCACTCGTAAAGTATGGGGAGGAAGTAAAAGACATGCTCAAGGCCTTCTATAGATACTCCCTTCAATGTCAATCAGAGTTGAGTGCCTGTATTTATCCCCTCTCTATCCACGCTGAAATCATTAGGAAAAGTTCAATAATAACTGCAACCGATTTTCATTCATTTCTAGTAATAATTCATTTGATTCATGTGATATTATTTCCTTCAAAAGTTGTTAAATACATGGTCTGGAAGAATCTAACTGGCCATGTAAAGCTGACATGCATTGAGCCTCAAAAACGATCACAAAATGAGGATATTATGAGAATTTATCTCTCTTATTTGGCTGGTAAGTATATATGCAAGTAATTCATGCCAGTGATGCCTGGGTGTTGCTGACATGTTCACTGGGAGGATTAAAGGGGGTGAACTCTGGATCCCCCTTGCCTTGTTTTACTTTTTCTTTTTTATAGTACATATTACCTTCTAATATACTATTTAATTAATTTGTTTCTTTCATTTATTGTTTATCGTCTATCATCTGTCTCCTCCTGGTTGAGTGCAAGCTCTGCAAGAGCAAGGATCTTTATTTTATTCACTTATGTCCCAAGAGCCAAGAACAGTGCCTGGTACATATTAAGTGTCCAATAAATGTTTGCTGAATAAATGAATGTATGAACAAAACGCCCCAAACAAGCCCATAGGATTTTTGTCATTTTTCTCCCTGCTAGCCAAGTGATCATGATGGCAATGTCACAGGATCTCAGAAGGAACTTTATGTGCCTTTATGTGAATCTTGTGTGTAAGCAGATGCCTGGGTATTCTCCTGAACCCAGGCATAGCCCCTGACTGCCGTGCTTGTGTTCTTAAATAGCATGGGCCTCATCTGAGAGTGGGAAACTCAGGGAAATGAGTCAAGATTTGATGGCCAGAGGCCTTGGTAACAGAGCATATAGCACTGATCATTGTTATAATGAGTAAGAATAGATGTTAGCAAAATACGGTGCTTTTTCTGGGAAGGTTCCAGCTTTGGGATAAACTTGGACCAGACTTAAGTTTCTTCCCAACTCATAATATTCTAGGATCCTAACTCCCTTTCACCAAATATACTTATCCCATTAAGCCTTTGGTTTTCACCCTTCCCTTGCTATCGGCTCTGATCCTCGGCACTCTCTTTTAGCCAACTGCAGCGATGGTCTCCTGGTCTCTCTCAAGACTAGGATGTACCTACAAATACACAGACATGGGAGGGATCAGTGCCCTTGGTACACACCTGATCACACAGAACAGGTTAATGTTGGCGTTGTATACTGAAAAGTCAATAAAAGTTGCCCTGGTTCCTCGGTCCAGCCAGCCATTTTTCTTGAGGCTAGCAACCTGAGCAGCTGTCTCCTCTCTTGTTCTTGACAAATCCAGGTAATAGCCAGCTCCACTATAGGTTGCAATCATTCCCCAGTGGCTACTCCCATTCAAGTCTTTTTCACTTGTGTAGATCCAACTAATTAAAAAACAAAATGAAAAAACAAACAGATAAAATCAGTGGAACTCTTATGGCAAATACAAAGGCAGTTGGTTCCTGGTAAGACAGAGTATGTAATAAATCAATCTAAGTCTTATCAAGCTGGGTAATGTGCTTGGTGTGGTGCTTCGTGTTTTCTTATTTAATTCTCATATACTTATCATCCCCATTTTAGGAACGAGGGCCCTGAAGCTTAGTGAGGTCAACTCAGTCTCAAAGCTTTTGAGGTTACTGTCAGGAACCTACACCAGGACTGCCTGTCTCTAGAATCTGTGCTATTAGCCCTTAGTTTATACGGTTGCCTTCCCTGGGTAACTATACTCAGCGGCTAGATGACTCAAGGCTCTCAAGAGAAAACTGCAGCTAAGAGGTACAAGTTCATCAAGTACCACTGTCGGCAACTGAACTAAACAAGACTCCACAGGGCATCTGGGAATTAATTAATTGATTAATTAACTTGAGAGGGGGGAGAGACAGACAGTGGGGGGGGAGCAGAGGGAGAGGGAGAGAGAGCGAAAGGGAAAAAATCTTAAGCAGGCTCCATGACTAGTGCAGATCCCAACGTGGGGCTCGATCTCAGGACCTTGAGATCATGACCTGAGCCGAAATCAAGAGTTTGACACTAACTGACTGAGCCACCCAGGCACCTCAGGGCATTTGGGAATTTAATCCACAAATACTGACAGAGGTTCTCTTAGGAACCAGATGCTTCTTTGGCATTAATTAGGATATAAAGATATAAAGGGAAAGAACCAAGTTCCTTTCCTTCTCTAATTTACAGTAAATAGGGAGAGAAGAGTCATGAAACAATTAAAATACAAGGTAGATGGATGATATCCAATGGAGAAGTAAGAGAAATTTCTCGGGCAGATCAGAGGAAAGCTATCCTCATCCAGGGGTCCAGTGACAGGGAAGGTGCATCCGAGAAAGCTTCTGGAAGAAGCCGCAGTGGACCCGGGCTGTGAAAGGTAAATAGGATTCAGGCAGGCACCAGTGGATGCGAAGGGCATTTTCAAGCCTGGGCCTGGCGGGGCCGGAGAAGTACAAGGCACCCAGCTAGCCGCTGAGTTCAGCTCACATATGATCAAGAAAGAAGGCTGAAAGGTAGACTGTGATCAGATTGCGAAGAGCAAGCAGGAAGGGGTCACTGAGGGAAGGTTGCTGAGAGGCATGGAACAGGGTTCCTCCGGTGGCTGCAGGAAAGACTGGAGTGGTGAGAACAGGAGCCTCACATGTAGAAAAAAGTGGCCACAGCGGGTCCGAGACCACCTTTCCTTAGGAAGGCCTGCTTGCAAGGTCGCAAGGTTGCGCCTTGGCTGCCATCTGGAACTTGACTGCTAAATAGCTCCCTACGCTGATATAAAACTTGTCTGGCTGCTTCTCTCTCTCCCTCTGCCTCACCTCCCCCCACCCCCACCCCCTCAGCCCTGCTCACATGTGCCTACTCTCAAATAAATAACATCTTTAAAAAAAAAACCAACAAAAATGTTGTGTGACTGGGAAGAGTGGCTGTCTGTACAAACACGTGGCTTATGCCCAACACCTGCTTTCCTTCTGGACTGACTACCTTGGGCACTGAGTCTCTAACGAGCCTCTCTGACAGACAACATTTCATACATGTTGTTATGGTCTGTTACAGGTTGTAGCCCGTCATGGGGCCTGTGTGACTCCCACTGGGAGAGCACTTTTGGGAGCCTGCATTTTTTTTTTTTTCTCCAAACTCTACCCCATGTGCCTGTACCCTCTGCTGCATCTGCTTTTATCCTTCCGTGGCATTGAAGCTTAGCCATGAACACGACTGGGTTACGAATCTTGTGAATCCTTCCAGAACATCACTGAACCTGGGAGTGGCCCTGTGGGCTCTGACACAGCTCAGTTAGCAGCGCCTGCAATAACCCAGAGGTGATGATGAGGCCTGAACCAGAGCAATGATAGGAAGACAGGAAGACAGACAGGAAGGATGGACAGAGGACACTGCAGTGACTGTCAGCAGAACGTGGCCTCTGGTTTGGAAGTTGGAGCGAGGGAGAAGGGACATCTGAAAAATGACTGGAGACTCTTTTTGGATAATGCAAAGGAGCTGGTAGGACACAGGTAGGATCTGGATTTGTTTTTTGTTTCCTATCACTAGAACATAAGCTCTGTGAAGACAGTGGATTTGTTTCTATTTTGTTTCCTGCTGCTTTGTTACCCCAGCCAGCACCAAGGGTGTTTCTAGAAGAGGGAGACTTCACTGAGAAAATGCTGGCACATGTTAACACTCTGTATATTTGTTGAAGAAATGATAAATTATTAAACAGACATGAGAGAGGAAGCCACTGGAATGCCAAGGGAAAGAATGTAAAGAAAGAAAAGCTAGAGACCTGAATATAGAACCTAGGAATAAGAGAGAAGTGGGAGTTAAGAGGAAGATTACAGAATGAAGGGAACCCCAAGTTTAGTGTCTCTCTCAGAAGTCAAAAGAATGAGCAATCAACACAGCTGGGTTCTGCAGAGGTTGAATGGGATGAAGATCAAGAATTGGTCATTGGGTTGGCAAACTCAACAAATCCACTGGTGGCTTCCAAGAGAGACGTCAGAAGCACAGGGCTTAAGCTTTAAGGGGTGAATCAATGGTAAGGGAATGGAAGTGGCAAGCGAAGGCTAATCTTTCCTAAAGCTTGTGGAGTTCAAGGGAAGGAGAAATGGGAGTAGCTTGAGAATAGGGCAGCATCAAGGAGTGGTTTAGTTACATGGCGGTCCATCCTATAGTGGAAATCACCCATTCATCCATGCCTGTGGTTGGTCTTTACTGAGCAGCTTTACATACCATGTATGGTATGTAAACGGAGATGACATGTATTTCAGGTTGTTTTGTGAAAGCAGATGAGATAATGCATGAAATCACTTCTTTTTTTTTTTTTTTAAATATTTTATTTATTTATTCATGAGAGACAGAGGAGGAGAGAGAGAGAGGGAGAGAGAGAGATTGAGAAGCAGAGGGAGAAGCAGGCTCCCAAGGAGCAGGGAGCCCGATGCGGGACTCGATCCCAGGACCCTGGGATCATGACCTGAGCCAAAGGCAGACGCTTAACCATCTGAGCCACCCAGGCGCCCTGCATGAAATCACTTCTTAAATACCATCTGGTAGTGGCTGCATCCACTTCTCTTATTAATGATATGAGATAGAGTAAAATATTAAACCAGGTACTACAGTTTAAGGGCATGTTTATGCTGTGCAGGAACTAGAAAAAGGAGTAGAGCAAAATCATCATCAAAGCCAGACAAAATGTCTTTTGGGATGATTCAATCCCTTTATGCTAAATCTTCTGATCTTTACCTAGTGTGTTCCTTATGGATCCTGGTACTAAGTAAGGTATGCACTGGATGACAGACAAAGAATCTGATCATGGGAAGGCTGTCTGCCCCCACTATATATTAACAAATCTGGAGTCTGGGTGTCTCAGTTCAAGACAGGGATCTAGATGAACTGACAATTAGCTTAGTAAAGTCTAGAAGACAATTCTAACCATAGTGACTCACCCAGGGGCAGTGACCCTAAGAGGCCCACCTTGGGACAGCTTGAGAACTCTTCTTACTTCTTTATAATAACTACAGTAATTCTAAAAGTAATGATTATCCTCCCCCCCCTTTATTTTTTAAGATTTTATTTATTTATTTGACAGAGAGAGAAAGCACGAGCAGGGGGAGCGGGAGAGGGAGAAGCAGGCTCCCCACCAGGGAGGGAGCCCGATGCAGGACTCGATCCCAGGACCCTGGGATCATGACCTGAGCTGAAGGCAGATGCTTAACCATCTGAGCCACCCAGGCGCCCGATTATCCTCCCTTAATACATAAGATGTTTTAAGTATGGTTACGAAAGAACACCAAAAATCCCTGCAAATATGCACATGGACAATAACATACTCAAAATCATACACCCACACTTGAGAGGACAGTCTTTAAAGCAGACATGAAACTGCCTCACAAGCTTATTACACACTTTAAATACCTGTACTTTGAACCAAAATGTATTTGTAAATGCTAGTAAAATGAGAATTTCTGTACCAGAATAGTTCTCAGTAACAACCTAGAGAATGATGTCACTGGATCTAGAAAAAAAGGATCCAGCCATCTTCAAAAAAACCTCCAAAGGCCCAGGTCACTACTTTCTGGTGGGCCATGTGATCAATAATTTAGCCTTTTGAAAAATATGTATGCAGAAGCTGAAGGGGGTAAAAAGTAGAAAAAACTTGAGAGACCAAAGGCCAATTTGGCCACGGTCTTAACTCTAAGCACTGAAGATTCATTTAAAGCATCTTTTCCTTGGTTAAGGGGTTAGAGGATGAATGAATGAATGAATGAATGAGTGAATGAGAAGTCAGGGCGCGCATGGCCACTGGGGGCACAGACACTTACGCAGTTCCATTTCTTGGACCGAAAGGAGCTCTGTCTTCACTACTGACTGAGTAGACATCATAGCATTCTTTAATCTCATCTCTCAAGTCCTGGGGGATAGAACAGGATCCATTTCTGACTTTGAGTTGCCGGATACGTGGCACCCCTAACAGGAGGTTCTCGTAGTAGATGAAGCTTCGGTTGTCAGCTTCGGTTCTGTTGCTGGGCTGTGTCTTCCAGTACAGCCCATCCAATAAGGCACCTTCTGTGAACTGAAAGCAAAGGAAACATTTTTAAAAAAATTTTTGAAAAGCCCCAAGCTTAGCTTAGTAGCTGCTTTGCTCTTTCCTGGAATGTTTGCATGACCAACAGTTTGGCAACTCTGTAAACATGATAGAGTAACAAGGGTGGGTTTTGCCGTCAGAAAGATTTGGGTTGGATCTTGCTCCGTCACTTGTTCGCTGTGAGGCCTTGAGCAGGATCCAACTTTGAGCCAAGGTTCCTGCACCTATAATATCCATCCTTTGCATGGCTGCTACCCTGGTACCCAGTGGGTCCTTAATAAATGGCAACTCTGATTTTTGGCCTAGGACTAAAGGTCAGGGGTGTGGTTCACGTAAATCCACAACCATGATCAATTTTACTTTCCCTTATTGAAACAGCCTCCCACATAATCATGGTTCCAAACTTGTTTGGAGCGGGAACATCTAGTTTTGATTACCAGTCTGCCATCTGGTGGATCTTTTAAGTGTCTGGATTATTTTGGCATATGGTGAACTCTGTAACTGACCCCACCCCTGCCACTGCCCCTGCTTTTAGAGATTGGCATTCATTACCACGGAATTGTGTATATGGGAGCAGTCTCTCACTAGTTTGCCTATAGGGAAGAAGAAGCTGTTTCTCAGTGTCAGCTTATTAGACAATCAGTAGAGATGGACTGATTTGCTCTGTTGAGGAGGGGAGAGATTCCTACTTTACAAGCATGGTTTTGGATGCCAAGTGTTTTTAGGCATGAATATTAATGGGTTCATATGGTCCAGCTTCCTCTATCTTTACAACCACCAACTCTGACCCCGGGGTTTAATAAGAGTTTTAGAAAGCAGCTCCGCAGGAAGAAACAAGTCTTTCCTCTCCGGTTTCCCTTTCAGTTTTCTTAGGTTCTGAGCACCATACCTCCCAGATCAGTTTAACATTTCTCCTATGGTATCACTCATTGCTTATCCTCAGTTACTATGTTGGCTTTTGTGACAATCTGGGAAGGGGCTGGGTTGAATTTTACATTAGAGATCTCTGAAAGAATGTGCCTGCCTTGTATCAGGCGCTGCTCTAGGGCACATGCCATCATTAACAAAGAGACAAAAGACAAAAAAACAAAGCAAGACAAAACAACCAAATCTTGCCCTTATGGGCCATATATATCCTAGGAGATACTCAACAGACATTCAATGAATCATGAATGACTGAGTGAATTATAGACAAGGGTGAGGAAGTGTTTGTCAGGCTAGAAACAAGTCCATTTTTCTTACTCCCTAACCGTGTGTAAGCATGCTGATTCTTCGTCTCCTCATCTGCCACCCGGGTGTAATATTAGTTAGCCCTTACCTCATATGGTTACTATGGGATTAAAAAAGGGAAGGTATGAAACACTCTGCACAGTGCAAGGCACATACAAGGTTCTCAATAGAACCGTAACTTCTAACAACTCACCATAGCCTACACCTCATACAGTGTCAAACACAAAGTGGATCCTATAGATACCGCTGACTTGAATTTATGAAACCAAATGAACAATTTCCAATGGTAAAGAGGTACTTTGAAAGTCATTTGCAATACCTTCCAGAAGTCTTCCACTGAAGAAAGAGTTTTAAAGTTTGTTTTCTCTGTTTTGGACACTGGGGTGTCTAGGAAGAGTTGTGACATTATCCGGGTATAGTAGTACACACTGGAGCTCATCATCCCATAGGTCACTGGAACACAGAGAAAGCCACATGAACCTCGTGGGGGAACCCATGCACTCACTCACACACTCCCAGTGGATGGGCAGGTAACCACAAACATTCTTTACCATTCTTCTAAGATCTCTCCCTAGCTCTTGGGCCTATAAAAGAAATAAATTCACATTGGCTTATGTGAACCCAAACTGGCTTACTACAGAGTATCAAGTGAAGATCAAGCGCCTTTACTTGACATCGGGGACATGCCTATTTAACCTAACCCCCCTCCCGCCATCAGCCCCTCCACACAGTGAGGCCGCTCCTGGATTAGTCCCTCCAAGCAGTGAGGCTGCTCGGCACAGGCCCCTACAGAGGCCAGGCTGCACTCCCCGTCCTGTGGCTGGGCAGGCGCTGTCACTCTCCGTACGATAACATGGGCAGGCCGTTCTCTCTTCCGTATTAGTTCTCCATTCTTCTCTGCTCTGCACCATGAGGCCGACTTCTACAGACTGTACCACATGGGCTCCCTTGCCCTTTGATTTCCCATGCATTTGGCCCAGGGGAGGCTGAACAGGAAATCTGGGGGCCTGAGGAAAGAGAGGTTCGGTTTGCTCCCACCACCCTTACTCCTTTCCTTCACCACCTGGATGCAGCTTGGCAGGGCACCCTCTAACCTTGGCCATAGCTGCTGGGAGAATCTCCCTTCCCACAGCCACACTGGGTTGATGCCATGCCATTCCCTCCCCTTGTCCCCTCAGGTCTGGAGGTGGCATCTGTTCCGAGGGCCTCACTCCCCTTGCGGGTTCCCATAACCCTCCCCACTTGTGGAAATAGGCCCTTCATTAAATGTTCTTTAAATTTTGAGTTTTGAGTTTTCCATCTCTTTCCTTCCCAAATGCTCCCATCTGCCTCCCATTTACCTGTCAAATCTTCTAGGGAATCCTCTAAACCCAAGCTACAACCCTCTCATGAAGATTTGCTGATTATATCAGCCCATTCTGAATGGTCTTAGAGGGAGCTGGGAAGATAATTTATAGGCTTAGTAGGTTATAGGAGATGAGAGGTTGAATCTTGGCCATGCCTGCTACTTACAATGTGACCTGTGCAAGTTGCTCAAACTTTTTCTTTTCTTTTTTTTAAGTTGGGGCTTGAACTCAACAACCCTGAGATCAAGACCTGATCTGAAATCAAGAGTCAGATGCTTAAGTGACTGAGCCACCCAGGTGCCCCAAGCTGCTTAAACTTTTTTAGCTTCAGTTTCCTTTTCTGTAGGATGGGAATAATTAGCTATCCCATAGGAGTCTTTGGTGCTTACGTAAAAATAGTAACTAGGGGTGCCTGGGTGGCTGAGTTGGTTAAGCATCCGCCTTCGGCTCAGGTCATGATCCTGGGGTCCTGGGATCGAGTCCCACATTGGGCTCCTTGCTCAGCGGGGAGTCTGCTTCTCCCTCTGCCTGCCGCTCCCCCTGCTTGTGCACGCTCTGTCTCTGACAAATAAATAAATATTTAAAAAAAACAGTAACTAAAAATTACCCAGTACAGTGGCTGAAACTTAAATGCCCAATAATGATGTTCTTCCTCCTTAATCGACTTGCTATAACAAATCTATTAAAAATTTCAGTACTTAATGAGAGCTGTCTTACACTGGACTCTAATGATTGCATGTGCAATACGCTATAATTCTTACAACTGACAAAAAGCTTCAAGGGGAAACACTTCTCTCTCTTTTTTTTTAAGATTTTATTTATTTGACCAAGGGAGACACAGTGAAAGAGGGAACGCAAGTAGGGGTAATGGGAGAGGGAGAAGCAGGCTTCCCGTGGAGCAGCGAGACGGATGCGGGGCTCGATCCCAGGACCAGTCCTGGGATCATGACCTGAGCCGAAGGCAGACGCTTAACAACTGAGCCACCCAGGTGCCCCTCTTTTATACTTCTTTTGACTACAGAAGTTTTTCACTTCTTTTAGTCATGGTTCTCAATATCCAGCAGGTGATTAATACTCAGCTGACTCTAATAATCTTCAGGCATCACAAAATGCATTTAAAACCTGGTATTAAATGATTTGGGGATTAAGTGCTATTTAGTAAAATCTCGTCCTCATATAGCTCCCTTCCCCACCTGAGCAGCATAAAAAATTAAGATTAGTTAAAAAGAGGAGTATATAATGACTATTTGTTTCAGAGGTACAGGTCTGTGATTCAACAGTTTTACACAATTCACAGCGCTCACCATAGCACATACCCTCCCCAATGTCTATCACCCAGCCACCCCATCCCTCCCACCCCCCCACCACTCCAGCAACCCTCAGTGTGTTTCCTGAGATTAAGAATTCCTCATATCAGTGAGATCATATGATACATGTTAAAAAAAAAAAAGAAGATAGAAGGAAGGGAAAGATGAAGGGGGGGAAATCAGAGGGAGAGACAAACCATGAGAGACGATGGACTCTGAGAAACAAACTGAGGGTTCTAGAAGGGAGGGGGGTGGGGGGATGGGTTAGCCTGGTGATGGGTATTAAAGGGGGCACGTACTGAATGGGGCACCGGGTGTTATACGCAAACAATGAATCATGGAACACTACATCAAAAACTAATGATGTAATGTATGGTGATTAACATAATAAAAAAATTTTTCATAAATGTACAATAAAAGTGAATTTTTTCATAGGGCATTCAGTACTTGTTTGGTCCCACAATTAGTCCTTACAACAATTCTGTTAATTAGATACTACTAACCTCAAAACAAGTACTTCTAATCTTCAGTTTAATGACCAAGCATTATTTAGCATCTATTTTCTGAGAAGCTGTCTGCTAAATACCAACTCTGTGAGGGGCAAGGAACAAAACACTTGACAGTATTCCAGTATAGCGGGCCATGGCTTAAAATGAATACAACACTTTTTTCTATTGATCCTTCCTACTCCAGTACTGTCTTGACTTTTGCACAGCCACAGATATTGAAATAAACTGTTAAAGATTAAAAAAAAAGAGTAGATAACAGTGATTCAAACACAAGTGTGTTTTAAAGTCCACCTCAAGCAGTCAATGGATCAATAAATACACAGAGTTACGAGGCTTATGTGCTCTATCTGGAGGGGAAGGAACGTTTTTCCCATCCCCTTAGTTAGGCTCCCTCACCTGTCCTCCTACGACCCACAAATTAGCATAAGAAATTCCTCTTCAAGTGTTACATGACCTGCCACCTCTCAAAACTATATTGGGCCAGAGTTAAGGGTTTAGACTTTTAATCCATTCATATTTATGGGACAAAGTGCTTATGAAGACAAGCAAGGTGTGAACTCTGTCAAGAAGAAAAGCCAGTAAGTTTCCCTGAGACCAGCACTGCCCACTCAACTCCTACAGAGGAATGGACAAGGTACTATGAGCTCTAGGAAAGCTTTCTGTGGATCCAGAGACAGCTGAGGAAACAAAGCTGATACGATGCTAGAGGAGTAGTGAAGGAGTCCCCAGAACCTAATAAATAATTATGAAGCTGATTTTTTCAATTAACTTGAAATTAGAATTTGCTTTGGATTAATTAATATAGATCATTCTAAATTTTTCACCTGTGGGTTTTTTTTTTGTTTAAAAAGAATTATAACAAATGATTTAAATGTTTTGATTTATAAATATGCTAGTTCTATATGCATACATATAAAAATTTTAGCCACTGATTAAAAATTTAACTCTTAAACAAACCATGAGAGACTCTGGACTTCAGGAAACAAACTGAGGGTTACAGAAGATGGGTATTAAGGAGGGCACGTGTTGTGATGAGCACTGGGTATTATACACAGCTAAAGAATCGATGAACGATACATCAAAAACTAATGATGTACTATATGTTGGCTAATTGAACATAATAAAAAAATAAAATAAGATAAATTGTAACTCTTTTGTTTTCCTATATTTTTAATATCGATTGCTTTTGAAATTCTCAGGACCTGTATGAAATTTCATGGCTTCACTAAAAGGGAAGTGATGCATTCCCTTAGCTATTTAGCACCATCTGTTGGACATCCAGAGAAACGACGTCATCTAGCTTTGAAGGGATGATTATTCTAACACATTCAATCAGCAAATATTAACTCAGTCCCTCCCTTGGGCCAGGCCCTGGGCTAGTCCATGGGATATCTTTGAGTGGTAGCTCCTTACACTCCCGGAATCACCTACACCATGAGTCCACCTAGGTTGTAGCTAAAGGACCCCTGGGATTTGGAAGCAGAATGATTTGGGTTTGAGTTTCAGCTTTGCTTCACCTAGAATGTCTGCCTCCGTGGTCATGATAGTGGGTCTTGGTGTCTTGGGATCTCAGACAAATACTTATCTGAGCTTGAGTTTCATCAACAAGAAAGTGGGTATAATAACATCTAGAGCGGGATGCCTGGGTGGCTCAGTCAGTTAAGCAGCTGCCTTCGGCTCAGGTCATGATCCCAGGGTCCTGGGATTGAGTCCTGCATTACATCGGGCTCTTTGCTCAGCAGGGAGCCTGCTTCTCCCTCTGCCTCTGCCGTTCCCCCTACTTATGTGCTCGCTCTCTGACAAATAAATAAATAAATGAAATCTTAAAAATAACATCTAGGGCTTCTGCATAGTTCAGTGGGAGAAATGTATGTGAAGACATTCTGCACGATGTCAAATGCAATAGAAATACAAGACTGTATCATCATTTTCTCTTCAGTCCCTGATGGAGAAAGCCCACTTGGAAGGTAGCATTCATTCTTTAAATGAGCTGAATCATAAAGGAAAAAACTACAGGATTAAATAGATAACCTTAAATGAGGAACAGAAAGGAGAATGTTAAAAAATATGAGGTAAAGGACAGGTATATGTCTGTGTATATATTTCTTCTACTATATAGTCCTTGTCTTAACTTCCAAGTTCCCTTTTCCACAAAATAAGCCAGAACAAAAAATATTATCACAGCATCACCAACTAATCAGCATGAAATATATATAAAGCTATCTTAAAAACACTCATTTTAAAATGGCAATGGATACTATTTTATCCTTAATATTGTTGAAAAAATGTAG